CCTGTTGATTTGGAGTCCGGATGAGAAAGTTATGCTCGACTTCGTGGACACTACCAAAGATGATCGGGGATTCTATCTTCTAATTTGATTTTATTTTCCTTATTGCAACTCTTTTCTTACTCTTAGATCATTTTTGCTTCTTGGACACTTAATTTTCGATTTGTACTTATAAGATACCAAATCCACCTATTAATATATAAATATAAATTAATCCGAAAAAAAATCCATGTAAACGTAAACGTAGAGTTTTATTTCTACACTCCACTGTATCTTTTTTATCTAGTGTTTTTGCTGTTGTTTGTCGATGCGTATTAAAGTCCTAGTACTGTAGTTCGTGCTTTTAAGAACGTTGTTGCGAATGCACTTTTAAGCAGGTTTTTTACATGTACGTTTGTGCATGTCCATTTGAGCGAGTGTGCTTATGCATGTTTGTTGATTTCTATTTATGTCCTAGGATTGTAGTTTGTATTTTCATGATCCTTTTTGCGAATGCACTTTTGCCTGAGTACTTTTATGCATGCTTTTGTAATTTTACATATGTGTGTATCTCTTCTAGAGAGTGTTTTTGCGACACGTGCCGCCACCAACGAACCATAGTAACCTATAGTATGTATTTTCATGATCGCTTTTGGAATCCAATTTTAACCATGTTTGAGTCCGAATTTGTTTTTTTGCCATTATACAGGAATTGTAGCCAGCTGAAATAGCTTTCCAATGCCGCCGGAACCAGTCGATTTGGAGTCCGGATGAGAAAGTTATGCTCGACTTCGTGGACACTACCAAAGATGTTCGGGGATTCTCTCTTCTAATTTGATTTTATTTTCCTTATTGCAACTCTTTTCTTACTCTTTGATCATTTTTTCTTCCTGGACACCTATTTTTCGATTTGTACCTATAAGATACCAAATCTACCAATTAATATATAAATATAAATTAATCCGAAAAAAAATCCACGTAAACTTAAACGTAGAGTTTTATTTCTACACTCCACTGTATATCTTTTTTATCTAGTGTTTTTGCTGTTGTTTGTAGATGCGTATTAAAGTCCTAGTATTGTAGTTCGTGTTTTTAAGAACGTTGTTGCGAATGCACTTTTGCGCATGTGTTTTACATGTACGTTTGTGCATGTCCATTTGAGCGAGTGTGCTTATGCATGTTTGTTGATTTGTATTACTGTCCTAGGATTGTAGTTTGTGTTTTCATGATCCTTTTTGTGAATGCACTCTTGCGTGAGTACATTTGTGCATGCTTTTGTACTTTTACTTATGTGCGTATCTCTTCTAGCGAGTGTTTTTGCGTACGTTTCTCGAACTATAGTACGTATCTTTTTTATGTAGTTTTTGCCTCGGGCATCTAGTGTTTTTGCTGTTGTTTGTTAATGCGTATTAATGTCCTATAATTGTAGTTCGTTTTTTTAAGAACGTTGTTGCGAATGCACTTTTGCGCATGTTTTTTTACATGTACGTTTGTACATGTCCATTTGAGCGAGTGTGCTTGTGCATGTTTGTTGATTTGCATTAATGTCCTAGGATTGTAGTTTGTGTTTTCATGATCATTTTTGCGAATTGACTTTCGCGTGAGTACTTTATGGCATGCTTTTGTACTCTTGCTTATGTGCGTATCTTTCTAGCGAGTGTTTTTGTGCACGTTTCTTGATGCCCATTCATTTCCTTGAACTGTAGTACGACGTTTCATGATCGCTTTTGGAATCCAATTTTGACCATGTTCGAGTCCGAAGTTGGATTTTTGCCGTTAGACAAAAATTGTAGCCAGCTGAAATAGCTTTCTAATGCCGCCGCAACTAGTTGATTTGGATTCCGGATGAGAAACTTATGCTCGATTTCATGGACGTACACTACCAAACATATTGGGAGATTCTCTCTTCTAATTTGATTTTATTTTCCTAATAGCAACTCTTTTGTTACTCTTTGATCATTTTTACTTCCTATAAATATAAAATACCTATATCCACTAATTCAAACAGAAATATAAATTAATCCAAAAAAAAATCCACGTAAACGTAAACGTAGAGTTTTATTTCTACACTCCACTGTATCTTTTTTATCTACCGTTTTTGTTGTTGTTTGTTGATCCCTATTAAAGTCCTAGTATTGTAGTTCGTGTTCTTAAGAACGTTCTTGCGAATGCACTTTTGCGCATGGTTTCTTACATGTACGTTTGTGCATATCCATTTGAGTGAGTGTTCTTGTGCATGTTTGTTGATTAGTATTAATGTCCTAGGATTTTAGTTTGCGTTTTCATGATCCTTTTTGCGAATGCACTTTTGCGTGAGTACTTTTGTGCATGCTTTTGTACTCTTACTTATTTGCGTATCATTGTAGCGAGGCTTTTTGTGCATGTTTCTTGATGCGCATTCATGTCCTCGAACTGTAGTACGTATTTTCATGATAGCTTTTGGCATCTTATTTTGACCATGTTCGAGTCTGAATTTGGATTATTGCCATTAGCCAAGAATTGTAGCCAGCTGAAATAGCTTTCTAATGCCGCCGGAACCTGTTGATTTGGAGTCCGAATGAGTAAATTATGCTCGACTTCGTGGACGTACACTACCAAAGATGTTGAGGGATTCTCTTTTCTAGTTTGATTTTATTTTCCTAATTGCAACTCTTTTGTTACTATTAGATCATTTTTGCTTCTTGGACACCTTATTTTCGATTTGTACCTATAAGATACCAAATCCACCAATTCAAACATAATTATAAAATAATCCATAAAAAAATCCACGTAAACGTAAACGTAGAGTTTTATTTCTACACTCCACTGTATCTTTTTTATCTACTGTTTTTTGTTGTTGTTTGTTGATGCGTATGAAAGTCTTAGTATTTTAGTTCGTGTTTTTAAGAACGTTGTTGCGTATGAAAGTCTTAGTATCTTAGTATGTAAGCTCCTCCTGCGAGAACCGCTACTACGTTGTATGGGCCGTCCCATTTCTCCATTAGGTTTGCCACCGTTTTGAGTGCATCCGCCTGTTTTAAGATCAAGTCCCCCACTTGAAAGACTCTCTGCCTTACTTTCTTGTCATAGGCTGCCTTAATTTTAGCTTTGCTGAGCTCCATCCTTCCTCTCGCGCTCTGTTGCTTTTCCATTACCAAGTCCAGCTCCTCGCGCAAGCGCATGCTGTTAGCTGTTTCTTGAAAATTCATAATTCTGCTCGACGTCATTCCTACCTCTACTGGAATGATAGCTTCCGACCCGTAGACCAACGAGAACGGACTTTCTCCGATCGCTTCTTTTGGTGATGTTCGATATCCCCATAGTACCGCGTGCAACTCCTCAACCCAATTTCCTTTCGCGCCCTCCAGACGCTTCTTTATTCCTTCTAACAGTACCCGATTGGTCACCTCGACTTGCCCGTTCGCCTGCGGGTGAGCCACGGCTGCAAATCTTTGCTTGATACCCAGACCTGCACACCATCCCTGTATCTTGGCTGAGTTAAACTGTGTTCCATTATCTGAAATGAGGTCCCTAGGCAACCCATATCGGCAGCAGATATTTTGCCATATGAATTTCATGACCTCTGTATCCGTTATCCTGGCCACTGCCACCGCCTCCACCCACTTGGAGAAATAATCTACAGCGACTATTAAGAACTTTCTCTGCCCCTTGGCTAGTGGCATGGGGCCTACGATATCTATCCCCCATTGTGCAAAAGGACAAGGGGAAGTTATTATCGTCATATCCTCTCCCGGCGTGTGAATCAGCGGGCCATGCCTCTGGCACTTATCACATCTCTTGACAAACTCTCCCGCGTCTTTTCTCAAAGTGGGCCAAAAATATCCTGCCCTTAGCACCCGCGAGACCAACGCTCTACCCCCTGCATGGTCCCCGCAGCATTCCTGGTGAATCTCGCTCAGCACGTAACGGCCCTCCTCCAGAGATAGACATCTTAGGTGCGGCCTAATGTATCCTCTTTTGTGAAGTATATCCCCGATCAGGCAGAAATTGCTTGCTCGCTGTTCCAACACCCTCTGCGCGCGGCCACTCGCTAGTACGTATTTTCATGATCGCTTTTGGAATCCAATTTTGACCATGTTCGAGTCCGAATTTGGTTTTTTGTTCTTAGACAGGAATCGTAGCCAGCTGAAATAGCTTTCTAACGCCGCCGGAACCTGTTGATTTGGAGTCTGGATGAGAAAGTTATGCTCGACTTCGTGGACGTACACTAACAAAAATGTTGAGGGATTCTCTCTTCTAATTTGATTTTATTTTCCTAATTGCAACTCTTTTCTTTTTCTTTGATCATTTTTGCTTCCTAGACACCTAATTTTTGAATTTTACCCATAAGATACCAATCAACCAATTCAAACAGAAATATAAATTAATCCGAAAAAGTATCCATGTAAACGTAATTTGTTGATTTGTATTAATGTCCTTGGATAGTTTTTGTTTTCATGATCCTTTTTGCAATTGCACTTTTTCGTGAATACTTTTGTGCGTGCTTTTGCACTCTTACTTATGTGCGTATCTTTCTAGCGAGTGTATTTGTGCACGTTTCTTGATGCGCATTCATGTCCTCGAACTGTAGTACGACGTTTCATGGTCGCTTTTGGAATCCAATTTTGACTATGATCGAGTTCGAATTTGGATTTTTGCCATTAGTCAGGAATTGTAGCCAGCTGAAATAGCTTTCTAATGCGGCCGGAACCAGTTGATTTGGATTCCGGATGAGAATGTTATGCTCGACTTCGTGGACGTACACTACCAAAGATGTTGGGGGATTCTCTTTTCTAATTTTATTTTATTTTCCTAATTGCAACTCTTTTGTTACTCTTTGACAATTTTTGCTTCCCGGACACCTAATTTTCGAGTTGGACCTATAAGATACCAAATCCACCAATTCAAACAGAAATATAAATTAATCTGAACGTAAACGTAAACGTAAACGTAGAATCTGAACGTAAACGTAAATTAAGTTGAAGAAGCCACAAGTTGGCAACAAGATGATTATCGAAGACTATTTCCCGTGTTTGAAAATTAGTTGAGAATCTGGGGACCAGATTCCTTTAAGGAGGGGAGATTGTAACACCCCGTAATTTATGCTTATGTTATATATACATATACACAAGAGTTTATTATGCTAAATAATAAGATTAGAGGGTTGTTGTGATATTATGGGATAAAGTTGGGGTACAGATATAATAATAATTTTATAAACTTGGCAATCAAGTTTATGATAGACGGATAAGTGAGAAAGTCTTCGTCATCTTCATCCGATTAATAGCATCTTCCAACTTCACTTCTGCCTATAAATTACCCCCTTCTCGTCGATAGAATCATCATCCACAATCACATAGAATTCAAAGAAATCAAGAGATTTATCGAAGAAATAATTTGAGAGAGAAATCAAGAAGATTGGAGATAAGCTAGGGTTCGACCAACCGAGGGAAAGATGTTGACTTGATGATCTTCCTGGCGGGTTTCAGCGATCGGGATATATCATTCGAAAGCCCTCGATGTAAGCTTCAATTTGGTGGTGGTTTCCGGCTGTTGTCTCAGGTGGTGGTCGCCGGAGTTCAATGAGAAGTCCAGCCTGCCGCTGAAGTTTCAAGAGTCGATTTGAGGTACTTAGGCTTTGAATTTCGGATTTGTTTCTTCTCAAAAGTTGTAGAGAAGCTCGAAAGCTATAGGAATTCCATTTTTCCCCAAATTTCGACTATCATATATAACCGAATTAAACCCGACAGTTATGCCGGCAAAATTCAAAGAAATGAAGAACTGCTGCCGCACCTGTTTTCGGAGCAGAATTTGGAGAGTTTGGAGTGCGAATTCGGGAATCATTCCTTCACAAAACTCGTAGAGAACCTCGAAAACTATTGGTAAGTGTAAAATTGTATCGAGTTAGAGTATGTTTTGAAGCTGATTAGAGGCCCGAATTAAGTGACGGTAAATCTGTCAAAACAGGGCAGTTTTGAGTATTCGTTTTACGGGGCTGTTTATGTTATGTTAAGATAATAATTTAGGCTATATGTCTTCTGAGAACCTGTAGATTACATTTTCAGGTTCAATTTGGTATATTGTTTGGCCAATTTGGATAATTTTACAAATAGTTATAAATTTTACAATAAGCTGTACCAGAAATAATCTTTCCAAAATCCCGGCAGTTCTGTAATGCTGGTTTGAGGCTGTTTCTGCTATTTTCGGTTCCGAATTTGGGACTAAAGCCTTTTGTGAACTCGTAGGATTTTCTGTTAGCTTTCATTTGACGTATCATGTGATCAATTTGGATTAACGTGCTAATTGTTATGATTTTTCAAACAAACTGTGCCAACAACGAATTTTCCAAAAACCTGGCAGTTTCATGTACTCATCTTCCGGGGCTGTTATTGCTGTGTTAGGTTAACAATTTGGGCTCAGGGTCTTCAGTAAACCTGTAGACACTGATGTTAGCTTTAATTCGATATATCGTTTAGGTTATTCGGATAAGTAAGGTGATCGTAACGATTGTTCAAATAAGCTGTGGCAGCAAGACATTCTTAATAAATGTTTCAAGAAATTGAGTATGTGGTATAGTGGAATAATACGGTTATATTAGCATTTAGAATGTTGTTAAGTGATGAATATTTTTATAGGTATCGAGCGTTCTAAGGTTCTCATTCAAGAGCATGACTCGAGAGTAAGGTGTTTTTATAACACTTGCATTGGACTTCAGGTGAGGATCCCTACCCCTTGCCTATTCTTTCTGAAAAACAGAATATATGCCGAGCACTCGTATCGTTCGGTTTATTATTGTTATTACTCGTCTTTTAAATTCAATATATATTTATTGTCGCCTATCCTGTGAACTAATTTGATTTCCGAGAATTGTTGATTCTTGAGCTATTACAATCTTTGATCGTTTCGAAATCCTTTTCCTGGAACTTAATAAGTTCTCATCGTGATTCGCGAATTATTCGAGTAATTTCTCATCCCGATTCCTTGATTACTCAATTGAGTTCTTTTATCGACTTGAATAATTCAACGAGTTTCAATTCGTTTCTCTATCAATTCGGAATTGTTTCACATCTTTACTTGTATACTAGTTGGAACCACTTCTTCTATAATGATTCACTATGATTTGTTTCTAAAGTGGTTCATTGAACGTAAATCGTTCTTTTCCCGACTCTTGGACCATTTAGGATTATTATATTTATCCACTAAATCATTCGTTTAGTACCCTTCTTGACTTGTGATTTTGTGACCACAAGATATTATCACTTGTTATTGGAATCCCAAAACTATTGAACTATGAAATTGATTCTTTCCGAAGTGGAATTTATTATTGGGATTCAAATTGGAAATTTAGATAGTCGGAAGCATATCCGATATCTATATATGATTTATTCCTTTGGGGACGCCCTAAGGATAATTGACCAGTTGGGCCCGGGGCTGTTCGAAAAAGACTGCTGGGCGGTATTGGGCCGACGGTGGATGGTCTCTTCGACAGTACCCATATTGGATCTAGACCATTGGCATAGTTGGAGGTTAACTGTGTTGATGGCTGGATCGGCATGCGCCCGGGCATGCCTATTGATCGATTAGCAGGGTAGCTCCCTGATCGGTGTTATAAGGTAGTTACGGCTAAGGGAGTCACAAGGCAGGTACAGGTACATGAACAAATTGTTACCATGGGAATCTCCATGGTCTCATATTTGATATCCGAAATTGTTATCGTGGGAATCTCCACGAAATTCATAATTAATATTCGGGAATTACCCGTTGAATATTGTTCTTTACCTGTACATATTGATTATATTGTCGATTCTGATCATATTGATGTGCCTTATACTTTGGCCTCTTATTCCCTATCGAACGATCATTCTCTAGATGGTCCAATTCCAACTCCAATTCCTTGAACACTTATATTGTGATTATTATTTGATTCGACTGTTTTTCCCTTGTACTCCTCACTAAGTCCACTTGGACTTACTCCTCTTCCCTTGTACTCCTCACTAAGTCCACTTGGACTTACTCCTCCTTTATTTTCCTTCTTATTCTCAGTGGCAGATGCATTAGTGGACGATTATGTTGAAGGTTCTTAGGAATAAAAGTTATTCAGAGATTTTAGAGAGTTTAATCTAGTGTTGTGTTTAAGAATAATTGTAATTCGAGAACTATGAATACGAGATTAGTTGTGGCATTTGGTTGTCACGTGTATTTGATATTATTGTTGAGAAATTAAGTAGGAGACATTGTATTTATCGGAAGTCATTGTATTTATTTATTGTAATGAAAAAAAAAAAAAAAAAGTACAGTGTATTTCGGTAGTGGGCGCCACAGAGTGTTTTTGTGCACGTTTCTTGATGCGCATTCATATCCTCGAACTGTAGTACGTATTTTCATGATCGCTTTTGGAATCCAATTTTGACCATGTCTGAGTCGTAATTTGTAAATTTGTAGTTAGACAGGAATTGTAGCCAGCTGAAATAGCTTTCTTATGCCGCTGGAACAAGTTGAATAAGAGTCCGGATGAGAAAGTTATGCTCGACTTCGTGGACACTACCAAAGATGTTGAGGGATTCTCTCTTCTAATTTGATTTTATTTTCATAATTGCAACTCTTTTCTTTCTTTTTGATCATTTTTGCTTCCTCGACACCTAATTTTCGATTTGTAGCTATAAGATACCAAATCCACCAATTAAAATAGAAATATAAATTAATCCAAAAAAAATCCACGTAAACGTAAACGCAGAGGTTTATTTCTACACTCCATTGTATCTTTTTTATCTAATGTTTTTGCAGTCGTTTGTTGATCCCTATTTAAGTCCTAGTATTGTAGTTCGTGTTTTTAAGAACATTGTTGCGAACGCACTTTTGCGCCTGGTTTTTTACATGTACGTTTGTGCATGTCCATTTGAGCGAGTGTGCTTGTGCATGTTTGATGAATTGTATTAATGTCCTAGGATTGTAGTTTGTGTTTTCATGATCCTTTTTGAGAATTCACTTTTGCTTGAGTAGTTTTGTGCATGCTTTTGTACTCTTACTTATGTGCGTATCTTTCTAGCGATTGTTTTTGTGCACGTTTCTTGATGCGCATTCATGTCATCGAACTGTAGTACGTATTTTCATGATCGCTTTTGGAATCCAATTTTGACCATATTCGACTCCGAATTTGGATTTTTGCCGTTAGACAGGAATTAGAGCTAGCTGAAATAGCTTTCTAATGCCGCCGGAACCTGTTGATTTGGAGTCCGGATGAGAAACTTATGCTCGACTTCGTGGACGTACACTACCAATGATGTTGATGGATTCTCTCTTCTAATTTGATTTTATTTTCCTAATAGCAACTCTTTTGTTGCTCTTTGATCATTTTTGCTTCCTGGACACCTAATTTTCGATTTGTACCTATAAGAAACAAAATCCACCAATTCAAAAATAAATATAAATTAATCCGAAAAATAATCCACGTAAACGTAAACGTAGAGTTTTATTTCAAAACTCCACTGTATCTTTTTTATCTACTGTTTTTGCTGTTGTTTGTTGATGCGTATTAAAGTTCTAGTATTGTAGTTCGTGTTTTTAAGAACGTTGTTGCGAATGCACTTTTGCGCATGGTTTTTAACATGTACGTTTGTGCATGTCCATATGAGCGAGTGTGCTTGGGCATGTTTGTTGATTTGAATTAATGTCCTAGGATTGTAGTTTGCGTTTTCATGATCATTTTTGCGAATGCACTTTTGCGTGAGTACTTTTGTGCATGCTTTTGTACACTTACTTATGTGCGTATCTTTGTAGCGAGTGTTTTTGTGCACGTTTCTTCATGCGCATTCATGTTCTCGAACTGTAGTACGTATTTTCATGATCGCTTTTGGAATCCAATTTTGACCATGTTCGAGTCCAAATTTGTATTTCTCTCGTAAGACAGGAATTGTAGCCAGCTGAAATAGCTTTTTAATGCCGCCGGAACCAGTTGATTTAGAGTCCGGATGAGAAAGTTATGCTCGACTTCGTGGACGTACACTACCAAAGATGTTGAGGGATTCTCTCTTCCAATTTGATTGTATTTTCCTAATTGCAACTCTTTTCTTTTTCTTTGATCATTTTTGCTTCCTGGACACCTAATTTTCGATTTGTACCTATAAGATACCAAATCCACCAATTGAAATAGAATTACAAATTAATCCGCAAAAAAATCCAGATAAACGTAAACGTAGAGTTTTATTTCTACACTCCACTCTATCTTATTCGTCTACTATTTTTGTTGTTGTTTGTTGATGCGTATTAAAGTCCTCGTATTGCAATTCGTGTTTTTAAGAACGTTGTTGCGAATGCACTTTTGCACATGTTTTTTTACATGTACGTTTGCGCATGTCCATTTGAGAGAGTGTGCTTGTGCATGTTTGTTGATTTGTATTAATGTCCTAGGATTTTAGTTTTTGTTTTCATGATCCGTTTTGCGAATGCACTTTTGCGTGAGTACTTTTGTGCATGCTTTTGTACACTTACTTATGTGCGTATCTTTGTAGCAAGTGTTTTTGTGCACGTTTCTTGATGCGCATTCATGTCCTCGAACTGTAGTATGTATTTTCATGAACGCTTTTGGAATCCAATATTGACCATGTTCGAGTCCGAATTGGGATTTTTGCCGTTAGACAGGAATTGTAGCCAGCTAAAATAGCTCTATAATGCCGCCGAAACCAGTTGATTTAGAGTCCGGATGAGAAATTTATGCTCGACTTCGTGGACGTACACTACCAATGATGTTGAGGGATTCTCTCTTCTAATTTGATTTTATTTTCCTAATTGCAACTCTTTTCTTTTTCTTTGATCATTTTTGCTTCCTGAAAACCTAATTTTCGATTTGTACTTATAAGATACCAAATCCACCAATTAAAATAGAAATACAAATTAATCCGAAAAAAAATCCACGTAAACGTAAATGTAGAGTTTTATTTCTTCACTCCACTCTATTTTTTTTATCTATTGTTTTTGTTGTTGTTTGTTGATGCGTATTAAAGTCCTAGTATTGTAGTTCGTGTTTTTCAGAACATTGTTGCGAATGCACTTTTGCGCATGTTTTTTTACATGTACGTTTGTGCATGTCCATTTGAGCGAGTGTGCTTGTTCATGTTTGTTGATTTGTATTCATGTACTAGGATTGTAGTTTGCGTTTTCATGATCCTTTTTGCGAATGCAGTTTTGCGTGAGTACTTTTGTGCATGATTTTGTACTCTTTCTTATGTGCGTATCTTTCTAGCGAGTGTTTTTGTGCACGTTTCTTGATGCGCATTCATGTCCTCGAACTGTAGTACGTGTTTTCATGATCGCTTTTGGAATCCAATTTTGACCATGTTCGAGTCTGAATTTGGATTTTTCTTGTTAGACAGGAATTGTAGCCAGCTGAAATAGCTTTCTAATGCCGCTAAAACAAGTTGATTTGGAGTCCGGATGAAAAATTTATGCTCGACTTCGTGGACGTACACTAAAAAAGATGTTGAGGGATTCTATCTTCTAATTTGATTTTATTTTCCTAATTGGAACTCTTTTGTTACTCTTTGATCATTTTTGCTTCCTCGACACCTTAGTTTTCATTTATACCTATAAGATACCAAATCCACCAATTCAAACAGAAATATTAATTAATCCGAAAAAAAATCAACGTAAACATAAACGTAGAGTTTCATTTCTACACTCCACTCTATCTTTTTTATCTAATGTGTTTGTTGTTGTTTGTTGATGCGTATTAAAGTCTTAGTACTGTAGTTCGTGTTTTTAAGAACGTTGTTGCGAAAGCATTTTTGCGCATGTTTTTTTACATGTACGTTTGTGCATGTCCATTTGAGCGAGTGTGCTTGTGCATGTTTGTTGATTTGTATTAATGTCCTAGGATTTTAGTTTATGTT